TGTGGGTGTGAGAGAATTGATAACTCATAAAATAAAGCGAATATGTGCCTCGAGCGCAAAATAAGTGGTCTCACATTTCAGGAAAACGCTCCGTAGTTTTTTGCAAGTATGGATAAATAGTGCCAAAAATATCACAGGAAGCCCTTTTAAGTTTTTGTACAAGGGATACTTACGTGCAATCAAATTTCGTGCCACGAAAATCTCTGGAGTGTGTCAGGCGAAGCGGATGTCCAACAGGTGGTGCATGAGCATATCTTCACGCATGGCCTCCTCACGTACTGGATATTTTGTTCAGATGTGTACTAACGTCTATTCATGTATCCAGAGGAATTGCATTGGATGATCTTTTGCAGCCTGAGATCCCATATGAATGGATGCTGACGCTACCAATAGGTCAGTGTGGTGTTAACAGGAAATGAAAGATTTGTCTCTATTAATTCAAATCGAGATGTCCATATTCCCCATATTGGCTTGCATGACAATTGACAACACTGTCTGTAAACTGCAAGTGAAAGGGTTAGCACTTTCCACAAGCATTCTGGAGGGACGATAGAAGAACTTTGAAGACATAGTTTCTGCATCTATGCCGCTATTAGGAAACATATGCTTAAGTTGCTCAAGGCTCATATTTGTTTCAGGTTCATGAGTCAAAGAATCGCATGCATCGATGTAGGGTAAGTAGGGTAAGTAGTGCTGCGAATGTCGGCACTGGGGTAATCTGCACTTTGCAATCGTCAAAATTCTGCTTCCACTACTAGAGCCCTAGACACGGGTAGATAAGTATTCTCAGATGGTAGGACTAATGTTAATATGAGCTTTAAACAGCTATATTTACTGTTGTACTTCTCTCGCAGTGGCCACTTTCTCTAAACGCAATCCGAAAATCCTGCGAAATCTTGGGATTTTGCTATTCCTTTGCACATTCCGTTCTTCTCTTCCAAATTATGTATTGTTTTATCAGGTCGTTGCATTCATTTTTGGATCTGTTGTAAACGACAGTGATACATAAGTGTGCCGAGATTGCCAACATCTGACCTGACTTCACCTTTGAACCAGGAAATGAAAGGTCTGGGGCACTAGAGGTTTGGGGTATGAGAAGTTTTATAATAAAGGTATCACTAGGCCCAATATGAACGAGAAAGCTCCTTTACGAAAACCAGCAAGCAAGGTGGAAGTGCAGAATTTGCTTAGAGTACCGACATTCGCAACATTCACCCTATCCCGAATTCCTTTGAGAACTGGACCAATGAAGAGGTATATCAGGATATCAGGATAGTTAGTGATATCAAAAGGCGATTTCGCCCATTTTGATATCACGTGTCGAGGTCGAGCGTTCCTTAATTTTAGGGTAGGCCTAACCCTCTTAAAGCTAAATATTTTTGTTTTGTTTTGTTTTTTTTTTACTATCCTAGTTGCTTACTGTCTAGTACCTACGTCAACATTGCCCCCCCACCTTTTTGCCTGTCCATGAAAGCATCTAGTTTCTTCTTAAAGATAGTCACAGAAGGGGCAGCCACTACTTCGTCATCTAACGCATTCCACGCGTTCACCACTCTGCAAGTAAAGAATTCCTGTCTCGACCTGAGCCGCACCTGCGGTTTGCGCAACTTAAGTCGGTTACCTCTCGTTCTCTTGCTGTCATCAAACTGGAAGAACCTACCACACTCGACATTATCTATTCCTTTAATTATCTTGAAAGCCTGGATGAGATCGCCCCTCCTTAACCTT